CATCATAATTTTAAGAAGTCAGCACAAAAAAATAATGAAGTTTATGCACAAGTTAATCATTGTTAAGTCCTTATGGTCATATTTAAATATATAGAAACCAACATTGTAAATAGATGAAACTTGAAGGACTCAGAATAATGGAAAAAAAAATATAAGGACTAGAATGAAAATATGCTGAAAATATGGGGACTAACAATTATATTTTTGCTTAAAACAAAACATAAAGCACTTTTAAAAAAAATTAATAAAATATATTGAATCATAAAAAAAAGATATAAAGAAACTTACTGGATAGCTGCTGAGGATTGAACTTATAAATTTTAACATCGATGATTGGGTTTGGTTCTAACGACTCATTTGTCACTTTCTTCCTCAAATAGGCCATGATCAGCTCTTGTTCTGTGGGACAAAACTGGAATCCACTTGGAACCATTTGCCAAAAATCATTAATATTATTGTTTTCACATATTAATCTTCCACTCTCACTCTCTCTTATTTTCAAAAAATCGTTCATGTTTTGATCACTAAGCAAAGAAGATGATGAAATTTTCCTCTTGTTCATCGTACGTACGTGGTTGAAATTCGCAAACAATCTGCAACGCAAATTAAAGATTAGGATTAAAATGATGTGTTTTGTTTTATAATGTAATTCAAAGCACATAAGAGAGGTATATTAAATAAATAAACTAATAACCTTTTATCAATAAATAAATGAACTAAAAGTTTTAGGTGCAGTTTGTTCATAATTAAAAAATAAATCATTCTTGAAATAGTTTAGAGATTTTATAAAAAAAAACAAATATTATATTATGTTTGATATAATAATAAAAAATATTATGCTTTAGATATTTGTAGACTTTATGAAATATTTGTGATCTCTCACGAAAAAATAATTTATTATTTAATTATTTTATGGCACATTCTCTCTCATCTACCATATCAAATTATTTTCAGAAACTATTAAAAAATTAAACAAACAACATAACATTTTATAAAATAGATTTTTTATCCAAAAACAATAAATGTTTTTTTAATGAAAAAAATCCTAAACAAACGGGTATTAAAAGGGTGCCATTCCTCTCTCAGAAACCCTTCAGTTTTTCATCCATCTTCTCCTTCATTTTGATTTTTAGAATTTTTTTATATTTTTAAATTGGATTGCTTTTTTATTTTGGAATTAATTATGGTGGGGGAGAAGAAATTTTGGAAGGGATGAAGATTTCAGGAAATTCGTTCCAGACGTGCTCGCTTCTGTGGAAAATTTTTGAAAGGGGCATTGCAGTCTTTTCACTTTTAAAATAATTAAAATAAGTATAAAAATAATTTGGTATTATCATTTTCAGTGCATACCAAACAAAAATATAATAATCATAAGTACCAAAGAACCTCATACATACACATCAATAAGATTATCATATTAATAATAAAATTTGATCCTATAACTTTATGAGTTACAAATTAAATCCTTATTCAATCGACCAACTTTTATTGGTGGTATTATAGGGTTTGAATTTTTGACATCTACTCACGCCAAGCCATGTATCATTCTTATCACTTGAGCTAGTCTCATATGTGTTATTTCAATTTTTGCTATTTTATTTATCAAAAAATATTTTCTTTTTTAATTTGTTCAAAACATTTTTTTCAAACAAAGAAAGGTTATTGACTCAAAAATAATAATTCGATTATTCCCTCTATATAATATGTAACACAAAAGATGGACAAACTATTTGAATGCAAAAAAAACATTTAAAAACAGAGAAGAGAAAAAAGAAATATTTACTTGATCAGTTGATCGATTGCCTGGTCAATTGCTTTTGATAATATTTGTTGTGTTTGTTTCTCCCTTAATTATAGATTAAGTCTTGAAAGGAAAATAACAATAAAAACAAAAGATCCTCCTTGATTATCTTTTATTTCTAAAATTATTTGAGTTTTGAATTTTAATTCAAATAAATCATATTTAATTATTTTTATTTATCTTTTAAAGAATGCAAATATAACTATAGAAGGCTTTATAAAAAAAATATTCAGTTTGTCATGGTCCTTTTTCTTGCTGGGAATTTCCTTTGAAAAATAAACAAAAAGTCCACAAAGTCAAAATTGGCCAAAAGAAGTCTGCAAAGTCAAAGACAATCTTCATCAAGGAATTCAAAAAAAAAAAATTGCAAAAAATAAAAAAAAATATAAGTTTAAAGAAGTCTACTAAAAAAATTATCTGGAATTAACTAAACAAAAAATATATTAAAAGAGTTAATTATTTCATCTTTGAAATTGTGCTGCAAAATTTAAATTTAAATAAAAAATTATTTTATCAATCTGAGCACGATTTTTTGAAGATTCCTATTTAAAAAAGAATCAAAAAGACCAATCTTGAAATTAAGGTATATTGACTCTAATAGATTTATTATTACTCCTAATTATATATAAATTGAATTAACATAATTTTAAAACGTCGGATACATCTTAAGATTAAGAATGGAATATGCTTCAAATATTGACTTTTTGATTTTTCTATATTTTTATGAAAGGGAAAGACTTAAGTACTAAGTGTTGAAGAAATTTCTTAGGTACACCTAATAGATCATGTTACTTATACTCTCTCTAATAAAAATATACCAAGTCATATTATTTTAATTCAATTTAGCAATCCATTAATTTATAATATTTTAATTTTTACATTTTAATCCTTGGTCTTATATATTGATTTTTTTTCAATCAAATAATAAGTAAATTTTAAAATATTAATAATATTAATATCAAAAATTTGTTATAGGATTATTAAGTATATACCTTTTCTTTTCAAAAGTCATATAAATTTAGTTTATATCTTTTCCTTATTTTAAGTTTCTTCCTAGACCAATGTTTCCTTCTTCCTGTTTTTTTTATTTTTTAAGTTCAAGAAGTTCATTGTCATTGTGGTTGTCGTCGTGATGCAATTTTTTTTAATAATTGTAAATGTTTTTTACACAATACTTTGTGCTAAGTCCCAGTTGGACTTAATTAAGTGCGGGCGGTGAGGTCAAGTAAGTTGAAAATTTAAAATATATATATATATATATATATTAAAAATTGGCTCCAGGCAGTATTTAGACAGATAGATTTAAATTTCAATTTAAAATTAGAATTTTTCTTTTAAAAGTATACATTTAAAATCTACGTATTTAATTAAAATATTTTGTCTGAATAGTATAAAATTTTTTTAGGGAAAGGCAACCTGCAAGTTCTTTTAGTTTTTATTGATTTTGAATTAGAATCTTGTAATTTATTTTGATTTACTTAAACCTTATAATTTAATAAATTAAATATATTAGTCCAAACAGTTAAGAGTATTAATAAATGATTAAAATTTTCACAGCACAAACAATTTTAAAATTTATAGAAAATTTTATTTAACGGTTTTTAGCCAAAAAAATTGATTTAATATAATTTTTATATTTTTATTAATTTTTTATGATGAATACACACACACATATATATATAAATTATTTAGAAAACATAACCTAATTATATAAATTTTGAGTTATAAAAATTATGTAATCAAATCTAAAATTATATAATTTTTTAATAAAAATATAAAAGTGTATAATTTTATTTTTTAAAGAAATAATTGAAGGATTTTAATCCTTAGGAATTAACATATTTAATCAATCAAATTATATAGGCTTGAATAAAACAAAGTAAATTACATGGATCTAATTAAAAATTAAAAAAGACTGTAAAGACTCGCAAATTAATTTTTCCAAAATTTTAAAGGCATCAGAGGAATAAGTTGAGTCTCAAAATAAAAAGAGAGATTGAAAATAATGAGTTTATCTTTTTTATTTCATTGATGAGAAACGAAAATAAAAAATCAGAAAAGAAGTGATAGTTATAGAAGTAATAATAGTAAAACCGTGAAAAAGAAATATGAGAGTTGAAATAACTAAAATTTTAAATAATTAAAATATAGAAAAAATTTAACGTTATAAATATTATAAAATATGAATTTGAACACGGAACAAATTTATAGACTTTTATGTATCCAAATGAAATATTTAATTTAAATCTAAATTATCATTAAACCAAACACAAGTTTGTTCTTAGTTTTTTAATATATTTTTCATATTTTAAGTTTAATAGATTAATATATTATTATCATCTTTATTATTGCGTTTTTTTTTTGGGGGAAATAGTTGTGATGAGTTGAACTTGGATTGAGCCGAACAAGTTAAAAATTAGACAAAAATTATAAATTGGACCAATATAACTTATTACATAATTCATAGTAAAATTACATGATATTTTGCTAACAATATTCTCTAGTCAGGTGCAAAACTCTAACGCAAGTTAACATATATCCTCAACTGCACTATATCTTTCATGATATGCAAATATCTTTGTTTAGTACAAACTTGAAAATAGCCTTTCCATAGTAATCAATAGTCCTTAAACACTAGGAATTAAGATTTATAACGTCATGCATGTTGGTCATCATCATAATATCTCAACCACTCCATTGCTTGCCTTTCACAAAAATCTACATATAACCATTGATTCATTACGATTTTAGCCTATTTTATTTTTAATTAATCCATTCTATTCCATCTTACTTTTCAACTAGGAACAAACATGCTAAAGAAGTTTAAGATATTTTATGACTAATAATCTCAACAATGAAACATATCAGATTTTTTTCAGTATTCATGCTACAAATTGAAAATTAATCACGTCCTCCACGTTATAGAGATATGAGATGGCCTGGTTCCTCCAATATCAATCTCAGGCTCCATTAATTCTGGAAGCATGCTTGGGATGATCATATAATCACCGTTTTCTTTGTCCAAATTGTGAAAGATCTATGTACATTCAAACATCATCTGAACTTGACGTTCTATTGTTGATTTCATTGAAAGATGAAGGACTAGCAGAAGCTTGAGAGATTTCTGATGAATGAGGATTGTTGAATGAATCGGATCCATATTGTTTCTTTGAAGCTGTGATTGATCTTGAGAATCAGTTTGAGAAGAATGAGTCATTTTGTTTATAATTTCATAAAAAGATGGAGGTCTAGGAGAAGCATGAGAGATTTCTAATGAATGAGAATTATCCAACTGAATCATATCCATACTGTGGCTTTCAAGCTGTGATTGAGGTTGAGGATGATATTGAGAAGAATGAGTCATTTGAATTGATTCTTTTCTTAAATATGGTTCTAACCACTGTGCGTCCTCCTTAGTATAGCTTTTTATGACATTCTTGTTGTTGTAAATCTTACATAGAACCCAATCACCCAACTGCAAAAGTGTAAAAACATAAAAAAAACAAAAATAGTATACAACAATATCAGTATCCTTTTTTATAGAAAAGAAAATTTTCCATTTAGGATAATCCTAATAATTAGAAACACTACAAAGAGTACAAATCAAAACTATATATTCCTTTGATAATCCATTTTATAAATCACTTTATATAAAAAGATTGATGATTAATTACCTTCTTCCAATTTTACCTTTTCACATTATTTTAGTAGAATAAAATGTTGCATGTGTGAGAAATGAGTATTCTAAAAGGTGATATATTTTCTAACAATATCAATGATTTATCAACCATTTCTTTCTTTGAGCAAAATAGTTACAACTTATAACTAGGGTTTGGCTCGGTCAGAGTTGGTTCGTCAACCCAACCTTGAAAACAAGAAGCTTGACAATGAAACCAAACAAACTAAACCTGACCATAACTTTTGAGTTAGAATTAATTATATCCTAGAAAGAGAAAAACTACTGTTTCTCAACAAGAGCAAACTAGATCATATAACTATTCCGAGATTCGAGTTTCATTGAATAGCTTTAATAACAATTGTCTTATATATAAGACTGGATGAAGTATTACTAACCTTCGTATCTAAAGAACTCACTCTTGCATGTGTTGTCAGATCCAAATAATACTCATGCATGATCCAATTGGTCTTCTTGCTCCTTTGATGATTCCCTTTATAATAAATCAAAGTTCTACGTTTTCCAATTAATGTTCTGCCATCATCAGAATGGATGGACCGACATTTTCCTGTCGCTTCCAATGGCCATCTTGTATTGATCCATTTTGACATATTGGTGAGAAAAAGTACCACACATTTTCTCTAGACCCCCAACTCCTACATTGTCCTGTATTTATAATTAATATACATGTATAACCAAATTAGTTTACTCCTGTGATTGTCATGCTTCACAAACATATACGAGACTAATCCATTATGTCGTTAACTATGAAATATGATTTGTTTGATATGAAAATTTATTGGGATAATGAATTTTTTTATTCCAAAGCTTGTCTCAATTTTCAATTTAGTTCTTAGAGTTTAATTTTTATCAATCAAGTTCCTAAAAGTTTATAATCGTACATGACTACCTTGCTTACAAGCATCTTTAATCACACCTCTTTTTGTAACCCATTTTACACCCCTTCAAACCATAAGAGGAGTAATTTTATATGGTTATCCAATTTGAGGGACTTGACAGATTAAGAATAAACTTCAAGGACCAATCAATAATAAATAAAAAATTACTATGATAGTGAAACTTTTGATCCTAAAGTTTGCTTCACTTTTCGATTTAGTTCATAAAGTTTAATATCTAACAATCAGGTCCCTAAAATTTAATAATCATACACAATTACCTTAATCGTTTATAACCATCTTCAATTCCCACCTTTGTTTTTTGTTTTTTGGTAACCCCATTTTACATCTCCTTCAAACCATAAAAGGACAAATTGTACATGGTAATCAAATTTTAGGGGCTTGATTAATAAAATTAAATTTCAAGAGCCAATAATTGAGGCAATCACATGGGACAAAAAATTTCATTATACCAAAATTTACTAGAAAAGTATTCAACTACAACCGTATTTCAAGTTAGCTTATCAATTATACATACTAAAACATTAACATATATAGTTTCCTCTTTTCATTTACAAACACACATGAGAATAAAGCAAGAATGACATTAAACAGTTAGGTCTCCAATTTTTTTGAAAATTAATTGTAAATATTGATTTAAATAATCATCAATTCAGGAGTTATAATTGTAAATAAGACATTTAAATTTTAAATACAACTCTCAGTTTTCAATTTGAAATTCCTATTTGCAACTTTTTGAATCAATATTTACAACATTTTTCTCATAAATTCTCAATTTTGAAGACTTTATTGTCATTCCTCCAATAATAAAAAACATAAAACCCTTTATTAAAATATTAATGAAATATATTGAATCATAAAAGATTAAAGAAACTTACTGGATAATTGTTCAGGATTGAACTTAAAGACTTCAACTTTAATAATTGGGTTTGGTTTCAATGGCTCATTCATCACTTTCTTCCTCAAATGGGCCATGATTAGCTCTTGTAGGGCAAAACGTGAATCCACTTGGAACCATTTGCCAAAAATCATTAACATTGTTTTCACATAATCCTCCATTAATGTGATTTGTCAGACAACTATCTTCAACTTTTTGCTTCTTAGACTTCATGCTTTGATCAGTTAGCAAAGAAGATGACTGGTTCCTCCCCGGCATCGTACGTGGTTTTTAACGTCGTAAATAATCTGCCACATAAACGCTAGGTTAAAACACTGATTTATAAAATGTGCAAAGCGTATATGGTAATTAAGAGGCATGAAATAAACTAATCGCTTTTCCTTCTGGAGTATATATTCATTAGCCTCTATTATAAAAAATATATATAAAAAAACAAAAATATATTAAATCTCTCATGAATAAAAAAATAAAAATATTAAACATCACCAATATTATGATATCACTAATATTGAGATATATTATATAAAATACACTATCCATTTCAAGCGACTACTTCCATGGGTCAATAATAGTGAAATTGTAAATGTGCGTGCGTCTGTGTGTGTAAAAGATAAAATGAAGTTAGAGTCATTTAAATGAAATGATTGAAATCAACCCACATGAATACTGATGCGTACTTCTTTCTACAGGCAACTCTTTCTATTTCCGTTTATAGGACCAATATCCTGTTAACCCTGTGCTGTACATGAAGGCATGATAAAATTTAATCAAGTAAAAATTAACTGAAAAACATTGTGACAATTGTTGGAATACACCTAGAAAAAAAAAAAACGGTGTCATATCAATGTCTTCAAATCTATCAAGCAAAATCTTTTGCTAGAAGCCACGGATGTATCAACTAGCAAATCACCTGTGTCCCACTAACTGATAAGCAATGAATTAGACACAACAGTGGAACCTCGTATGAAAACAGCATTCACCTTTACTTTTTCACCAAAATCCTGCCATGGATAAGAAATGGTTTGGTAACGCTCATCCACTTAATTCTGGCCAAAATCATATCAATACCAATAAAAATCTAGAAAATGAATATGGTGGGGGAGTTTCTTTAACTCATACATTCATACCATCCATTACATGATATAAGAAATTAAGTGGATTTGTAACTTGGGGGCATTATAATATACGCACACGGTTAACAATATGACATTTGTTAAAGAGGCGAAAGATATCAAAGGTACAGAAAAATCCTCAACTGAATTCACAAATTTCCCAGCTATTCATGAATCCGTGATGAGAGTATGCATGCATCTCCTTTCATATAATTGCATCAGCATTAAAGAACTAGTGATTGAAGACAGAGGAGGAAGAATGTTAGGGGTACTGGTGACGGTAGTGCTCATGGGAATTGGGGAAAATTGTTTGTGGGTTTGAAACTGAACTCAGATCTATTTAGAGGAGCATCAGCTTTTCCATAGGCTTCTATAGCTTTATTATTAATTGGAAAATGAAAAGAGAAGATAGAAATACAGAATTTCTTCTGTACCTGATTGCTACCTTCCACGTCACACAACTCAGAATTCCATCAGGTATCTCTAAACTAAGTCATTTTTTTAATTCAGTCTCTCGATAAAGGAACATGCTCCCATTAACTTCAGTTAGATGAACATTTTTCTCTTAGTTTTTCTAATCAGAGCAACGGAATTCCCCTAGTTATTTAATTTTTTTAATGAACTAATTAAAGACAATTAAATTTTTGTCTCAATTATTGCTTTATTTCTTCATTCTAAGTAACAAATTGTTGCTGTAATTGAAACTACAAAAACTAAATCACACTTACTAGTAAATTATAGATCAATTGATTCTTATGCATCTAGATTTCCCTTTTTTCAGCATTCCACAACTTCAAAGGATGCATGAAGCAGTACCTTTTCTCTTCTATTGAGACAAAAATAATTACCAGACAAAAAAGGCAAACTACTAAACGAGAAGACAATATCAGGCCAGGAAATGGGGGAAAAAAATAGAGGACAGCAAGTCCACTAAGAAAGATGAAGTTAGCCATTTCTTAATTCCTTGTAATAGCAGCTTACTATTTGTTTCAGTCTATCAGAATCTTGTCTCTGATTTACAGCGAGAAAATAATTGATGCTCCTGTACTTTGTTTTATCTATCACCTCTGTCCCAAGCTATTTTATTCTATGGATATGCTCCCGATTACTTACATGTTAGGAATCTCAGAACATTAGTCTAACTTCCTTTTCTAATTTCCTCTCGAACCATCCATAAGACTATAACAGTTTTTATATTCTATACTATTTCCATTTCAAACTTTTTATAAGACTAGATCTATAATAGTTTCATGTATCACTCCAAAGGTTGAAGCCACTTGCCAGATTAGCATAGATATAAAACATCCAGAAAATTCCAACCTGTGTACAAAAGAGAACAGATACGATTGACAGAGAAATGCAAATTCCAGATTCCCTAAAACTAATATTTGTTAGACGTAGCAAGAAATTAACCAAGAAACCTTCGACAAATGGCAATGGCAATGAAAGATTTTGGGGCAATAATTAACTCTAGCAAAAAAAAAAAAAAAGCTAAACCGATAAAGAAACAGCAAAGAAAACAAATTAACAAGCATATCAATCTTGCAGGCGGATCAAAAAGCATTAATCAAATAGATTGTATCAGCTTAGAAGCCGAATGCTCGCTATTAAAGGAGGAAGAGAGAATGGCGAAAGAATGCGGGAGCATTTAGAATAAACTGCAAAAAAAATTTGAAAAAACTGAAGAGTGCTTACAAGAAGACTTCTTAACAGAGGAAGAAGATGTGATATTTTGGTGTTACTCGATCGCCTGCGAATTGCTCTTGATATTTCTTTTGCGTTGCTGCAAAGCTTTTGTTTCTCTGTTATTATGACGCGATTAAAAAAAATGAAATCCTCCCATTGTCTTTTTTCAATATATATATTCGAGTTTCGAATTTTAACTCATAAAAATCAGTTTCCATTTTTTAACTATCTTGTAAAGAAAAAAAAATATTAAAGGGCAAAAATACTCAATAACTCTTTCTTGCAAAACAGCTACAGTATTTTTAAGTGAACAAAAGTATAAAAGTACTCATGAACTTATTTTAATGAGTTCAATGGTCTACATTCCATTAAATTCAACTAATGTCTATTAAAAAAGAAGCAAACATAAGGTATAAAAATATTCAAAAGCTTTTTTTTCAAAAACTTTTATTATCCTTAAATCAACAATAATATATAACTATCCATTAACTTTTATGAAATGACACCTTTGCCTTGTAGAGTTATTTGGGTTAGCTCAATTATTTAAATTGTTAAATATTATTTTATTTTTTTAGTTAATTTTAATTTAATTTTTATCTAAAAAATTAATACTTTCATTTTTATTTAATTTTAATTTAATTAAATTAATAATAATAAAGAATTCGGGAACTTAGATTAAGGGTATTCAGTTTCAAGTTTGACCCAAATGTTTTAGGCTTATTTGTAAACAAAATACTTTATGCATTTGTTTGTTTCATTTGAAACACCTAAAAAATAAAAACTTTAATTAAAAGGGTGGTACATTCACTAAATACTCTTGCTCTATTTATATAATGTGTTTCTGACAATTTTCATGCAGATTAAGAAAACAAAAGGACAGATTTCAAAATTTATTCACTTATTCAAACTTCAAAGTAGTTTACTCTAGTCCTGAAGAAATTTAAGCCAAGTTTGAATTGAAATGGGATTAGCTCGATACTTGAATTCCTTTTTTATTATTAATAAAATAATATAAAATTAAAAATATTAATTTTTAAAATAAAAATTGAAATTATATAAAAATAAAATAATATTTAATAATTCATGTATTCGAGCCCGCTTGAATATACCCGAAATTAGGGTCGAACTTAGTTATATGAACTTTTTCCATATGGTGGGATATTTTAAGTCCAATCCAAATAAATTTAGCCTGAATTGAGTTCAATCTGAATAGGTTCAGCCCACTTAAATTATCAGCTCTACCTACAACTTTCATTATTTGACTATGGTCAACTATAGAAAATCATTTATAAACACAAATTGAATGACTAAATGAGAAAATGTTTTTGCCAACACCAAGGACCTTTGTTGTTTGTAACGCTCATATGACCTTTAGCTGTTTGATTCAATTCTTTTCATTCTAGGAAGAGAAAGGTCACTGTTTCTCAAGAACAAGAAAAATGAAAAAAAAAAAAGGAATTGGAATGTTGAATCAGAAAGAGAACCACATATAAGAAGAAAGGGATTTACATTATGAATTTTTGGTGCATTCTTGCAAGATTGTTTTAACTGAAATTCTAAGAAAGGCATGAAATTTAGGCGACTCAAATTGAATATTTGACTATTTTGCTTGAAAAATAATGTGTATTTTGTTGCGACAGGGTCTTGTTGACCAAAGATCAAGAAATTAGGTTGTGTTGTCTTTTAAGAATGGTATTCATTTAGTTTCATATTATAAGATGTTTTTAACTATCTCACATAAATAGAAAAAAAAAAAGGTTAAAATTAGTTGATGTCCTTATAAATTTGTTAATTTTTTGGAGTTACTACCTTTATTTTCTTCTCATGGGCAATATATGTATAATGAAATTGATTACTTTTATGATTTTATAAATTAATGCCTTTTAACTTTAAACATAGATTCTAACAAATGATGTTTTATAACATATTGTTTTCTATGACCTCTATTATACATAGCACACCTCTATTATACATAGCACAACAGTTTCCTCTCCATTCAGATTCTTCAAAACTCAAGAAGAAAGTAGCTTTTTTAATATGTAAATAAGTTAACTAGCTTCTAAATTTAAAACTGAAAGTATTTAAAATTACTCTTTATGTTTTTATTTATAAGTCATTGTTTTTCAAAAATTCAAACAACAAGTTTGCAATTTAACCCTTATTAAATATACATATTTTAAAAATCATACACTCTAACAGTTATTAACCTTCCTAACATTTAATAGGGGCTAAAAGATAACAATGGATGTAATAATCATTGAGGTGGCATTTAAATAGAATCAAAACAAAATATTCTCTCTATAAACTATAAATAGGATCACAAGAGTAATACATATAAATATTCCTCAAACTGGCTAGAGAAGTTCACAATATTTTATGATAAATGTTCTTTTTTTGTTTTCATATTCACTACATAATGAGAAAATAATTACATCCTCCACAATATAGGGATCATCAGATGAA